GAGACGTTCTGGTGACAAGGTCTCAAAAGACATGGAGATGTTCATATATCACACCTCTGTCATCTCTATAATCAGATGACTAGAGCTGAACACAGGTTATGACTGGCAGTGATCTGAAGTCCATGCGGAAAGAACTCAGGGCTGCAGACACTTTGATGCTGCAGATTAGATAATGTCCTAGTTTTTAGAAAACAAGAGACGGGAGTCTCTGAGGGAGGCCGCTATGCTCTAAAACAAAAAGAAAAAGATTGAGTACGAGAAAAATATTGAGCATGCCCAGATCTGGCACTCATAAAGTTTGTTTAGGCTCCAATTTATCAAAATCACCATCACCCAAGACAAAGGTTTGGGACAGCTTCATCAACAATACTACAAAATAAAATAAACTTTAAAGGAAGAGCCTCAATAAATGCGCTCCAGGTAAATATGCCAAAATGTCAGAGAAAGACTCTAAGGAAGAGAATATATAGTGCAAAGCAACAATGCTTGCTCAAGAGAGCTAAAGGAAGAGGTAGGTGGGATTGTTTTCAGGCCAAACTTCACTAAACTCAAGGGACATTCTGACACAGTGGCCATTGTCCTCCTGCTTCACCATCACTAACAGGAACCGTTCCGCTGTGAGCAGCCCGAGAATCAGGTCAATTTTCCTTAAATTCTTGAGTTCCTTGGATTGATATGGTTTAGAGTTGAATTATCCCACACCCACCTCACGCAGCACTTTTTGCATCCTTTTTTTTCTTATTCAAAAAGCCTTACGTCTCTTATTTAGCATGGCTTAATTTTCACCTCTGAGAGTTGTCGACTTTTATAATCCTTTAATTGTTAATTATCTGGCTGGTTAACGTCAACTTCCTGGCAACCACATGTTTCGTGAATTTAGTAGTGTTGTGCATTTAAAACATCAATTTAGTGTAATTGTTCATTAAAAAACTGTTTAAAAAGATTTAATCATGCCCATGCCACAAGAATTTAATGTCTTTTCACGTTAGATTTATAAGTGACAGTAAAGACAAGTGAAATGTTACAAAGGATCTCTATTTCAAATAAATGCTTTGTATTAATCACAGAATCATAAATAAATCTAATAAGGTTTAAACGTCAAGGTTTCCACAGAATTATTAAGCAGCACAAACATTTTCAACGTTGATAATAAAAAGAGATGTTTCTTGAGCAGTAAATTATGATAATAAATAATAAACGTGATATGCAACTGCAATCTCACATGTCTTGGACTTTAATTGATTATGTATGACATGATTGTTTTTCTGCTACTCTCATTGTGAAGCGTCCTTGAGCTTGGGAAAGGCGCTATAAATTAAGCATATTATTATTAGTAGTAGTAGTAAACCAGCATCTAAGAATAATTTCAGAAGGATCATGTGACTGAAGACTGGAGTAATTCAGCTTTGCTATCACAGGAATAAATTACATTTTTAAAATATATTAACATATAAATAAACAGCTATTTTAAATTGTAATAATATTTCACAATATGACTGATTTTACTGTTGATAAAATAAATGTAGCCTTCATGAAGATTATAGACTTTTAAAAAAAAATCTTCTAAAAAAATTTGACCCCAAACATTCAAGTAGATCTCCAAAATGGGGCGTGAACTCCAAAAGTGGGCAGAACCTCCTAAATGGGGCGGGGTCTCCTCGCGCAAAGACTTTCACCATTGGCTCTGGCTCCAGCCAATTGTTATTGACTTACATTTCAAAATAAAATTTTATAAATTAAACATTGTTTCTAGTTCATCTAAAATAAAATATGCTATATAAATAAATATTCTCCGTGAAAGCAGAGCCCAAAGCTCGTGGCCAGTGGGGTTCGGACTGGAGTTTGAACATCTGCTTAATGGTATAAACGGGAATCACCCACGAGCTCTCCCGCGAGCCGTCCCTGCACAGTGCAGGGGAACGATTTTACCCTATCGCTTTGTTCTAAGCAACGGGGGCGTGCGTCCCAGGGCTCGAAGTTCGCAGGGTAGGAGGGGGTAGTGACGCTGGGTGTAACTAAAAAGGTGCCATTGTCCAGTGAGGTCCGGTTGGGGAGTTACGGAACGATCTCATATCGCATAATCTTATTAACTGTTTATCTCCTGAACTGCAACTTTATTTACCACGCAGCGCCAATCCCGCCGTGCAGTCAATTTTGCTGGTTAAGGTTAGGGTCAGGTGTGGGGTAGGTTTAGGGGTTAGCATTGTTTGTAGCATAGTGTAGGAAATCAACACTTTAATTGACACAACCAATAAAATCTTTAGAATCAGCTGTGGGGCGGAGTTTGCACAGAAGTGGATTGGGGGAAAAAATTGCGCATGCGTGTCATGTGCCTGTCTGTCAATGGGAGGAAGCCACGCCCTATTTTGGAGCTCCCACCCCGTTTTGGAGTTCCCGCCCCCATTTGGAGATCTCCAGGCTGCAGTTATACCCTTCTCCAAATATTTGAACTGTATAGGCTGTTAATTTAATGAATTAATAATTGATAAGCATAATTATTAGTTAATTAATTTGATTAAAAGTCATAATAATTAGTTAATTAATTTGATTGAAAGTGGCTTGTTGTTTTGAATGACAAGCCTAATCATTATTATCTGATTAATTTTATTATATTTTATTGAGTGATTTTATTCCCATATCTATACCTCAGGAATGTGATTTGGTCTTTAACTCCAGAAGAAAAGCATTCAGTTTGAGTGACAGAGAAATCACAAAACCGCTGAGAATGACCAGTGGGATCTGTTACCAACAAAGAGATGTTTGACAGAACAAGTGAGAGCAAAATCATAGAATGGTGTGAAATATGTGCGCTCTTAAATCATAACTCTCCATCCCGACAACCCAGACTTGATGACTGTCATAATTTTGCCTGTTCCTTATGTTTGTTTTGTTGCTGCCTTATTGTTTTCTTTCCCTTTTTCTCTTGGCATGCAACTATCTGTCAGGCTGTTGTGCCAGAGGGGAACAAATCATCACTCTTCTGAAGAGACTGAGCCAACAAGTCCTGATCAATCACACAGATAGAGCTGCCTGAGTCGGGTTAGAGGAGGCATAGCTGACGTGCGGCACTGGTGTTTCGGGCTGAGAGATTGAGGCTGTCAGCACTTTCTTAATGCAAATCCCCACCGGCCTTTGCTCTCTGACAGCCAGATCTAGAAGACTCATGCTGGGAGGAACCGGGGAAATTCCGAACACGGGGCGAATCGTGATTGCCTGACAAAACAGGCAACACTGCCTCACTCTGTCAAGACAATGAGCGGCGAGTATAGCTTATCGAGAAAACGCCCAACGAAGAGTCTCTGCAAATCCAGTCAAATATTGTGTCAATTTCATCATCAAAATTACAGATGAAAATCTGACTTTAGCAATGGTTTTTGTCAATAAAAATGAAGATGAATTGAAAAAAGCACATCATGATGGCAACCGAGTTGATTTTCAACTGAAAAAAATATGCTAGCACATTAATTAACTACATGTAAGATTAATCAGATACACTACCGTAAATTTTTTTATTATTTTTTAATTCATACTTTTATTCTGCAATAATGTTTATCAAATATGACAGTAAAGACATTTATTACAAAATATTTCTATTTCAAATAAATGCTGTTCTTTTGAACTTTCTATTAATCAACATTTTTTAATTGTGATGATTTAAATAAAAATAATTTGAGCACCAAATCAGCATATTCAAATGATTTCTTAAGGATCGTGTGACATTGAAGACTAAAAGACTCCTGAAAATTCATCTTTGCCAAGACAAGAATAAATTACATTTTAAAATATATTAAAACTAAAAAACTAAATGTTTTAAATTGTAAACATATTTCACATTGTTGCAGTATTTTTAATTAAATAAATGCAGCCTTGCTGAGCTTAGGAGTCTTCTTTCAAAAACATTTTTTTTTTTAAACGTAATGGCCCCAACATTTTTGAACTGTAGTGTATATATACAACATAAACTTAAAATTAGAACTTGCATTAATACAAAATGATACAAATGCACAAGTGGCCTTGTAACTAGATTACATCTTATGAATGCTAACACACTAAAACATATCTAACCCCCAGGAAAAAAAAGAAAAGCTAAAGCATAAAGAACTCACAACATATTATAATGTGTACTTATAATATCATTTCAGAAGCTAAGGTAATCCACCAGGATAGTTTTTACATGTGGTTTTTGTTAAATATTGATATATGTTAAAATTAATATATAAAGTGTTTCAATATTTGGTGTAACTTTTGCATTTATTTGCCAAATAAAATGTTTCTTTTACAAAATTTAGATGCCATTTTTGAGTAAAGCTGACATTTTCATTAAAAGACAAAAACAAAACACTGTAAAAATGAACAATGTGATATCAAAATGTTGCAGGTTTATAGTTAGCTAAGTGAATAACAAAACATTGGTGTTTATGGCACAAATATTTGAAGGTAACTTCAATCACCCCATTAAGTACTGAGGTTTGTTCTTGCTACAGTAGCATCACTATGCACGGTTCCAAACACTGCTGTTTGACAGGCTTAAACATTTTGGCTTAAACATTGGCATGAGTTTGGAGACTACCTATTTGTTTAAACAAAGGCAGATGGGTCCATTTGGCACTGCTTGATGACCAGAAATTTACACTTTACATAAAACACACTCAAAATTCCCAAGTGTGCTCAAGCACTGGTATTCACTTCATCATGAGCCATGACATAGGTTGTTTAAAACTGTTTAAAACATCCCTCATAAATTCCCAGTCTTTTCTTCATCTTCATAAGGCAAACGGAACAGAAGATATAGACGACTCATGCAACGTCATGCCACATTCACTCACTCTTGACCTGTTATTCCAAAATCCCAGGAGGTGTAGTTAATGCTGCTCAATGTGAAAGCCCGCAGGTGATGGAGATTTACCGCTGATTACAGAACCGGCTTTCTGACAAGATGCGCGTTAAATATCGCATGCGATTTATCGTGCAGCCCTAGTTACAAGTATAACAGCGCTTACCTGCAGAGGCCAAGCTGCTGAGGGTCAAAAACAGGATGGCGGAGGGGTGTGTGAGTGCCGTTAGCCACATGGCTGGAAGAAAACGCTTTTTTTCTAAAAGCCAGACGTGGCAGAAAAAGTAGCAGCAGGGTGTCTTCTTGAACAGTCCCCACTAGCTCTGTAGAATGAGAGAGAGAAAGATGTCAGTCAGTGACCAAGCAGCAGGGTATTAGAGTCTTAATGTCACGTCCTGTGGACTTAGATGGGAAGAGACAGCAGGGCTCTGGTTGAGGTAGCAGCACTTGTTAATCTCAACCCACTAATTAAGCCTCGTGTGAATGGTGGGAATGAAGAAAACAAGAGATGGGTCATTCTGACCTGAGCTGCAGTCTCAAAGGCCGCTTTTCACTTCTGAAAATTCAGCTTTGCCATTTTAAAATATTTAAAAGAACAACAAAAAACTTTTAATAACCGGATTAAAAAAATATATAAAAATAGTACAAATGTTGAATTTTACAGTTTTACTGTACTTTTGATTTAATAAATACAGATTTGGTGAGCATAAGAGACTTCTTTCAAAAAATTACAACTTACATTTACACAAAATAATGCAAATAAACAAGTAAACTTGAACTAAGTTACATCCTGGTCACACTTTGAATACTGTACGCTTGTTTCATAATCACTAAAACATGTCTAATATCCAGAAAATGAAAAACTAAAGCATAAAGTGAAAATACTGTCTGTGAAAATACTCTGAACAGCCACTTTTCAATATACATAGTGATTTAAACGACACAATAAAAGAAATGCTGCAGTGAAGATAATCGTCAGATTAGACACCTGGAGTTTGCTGTTAATACCATTAACAGATGAGAGCTAATTAACACGACCACAACTGAACTTGAGAGATGAAGCAGCCAATCAGAGTTCACCGGAGGGTGGGCTAAAGCCAACACATGCCACACTAGTGGAGCTTAAATACAACATGCATTATCCACATGCGGTTTCACTAAGTCCACTACCTGACAAAGTGCTGCAATAATAAACATACCATCTGCATCATGACAGATATTGAGTCAATAAATATAAACCTTTCAAACAAATCTACACTGGCATTCAAACATTTACGTCTGCTCAGAGCCTCTGAAGTGTCACGTCAGACTCAATTCAGTTAGTTTAATTCCATTTTGACAAAATTAACTTTTTGAAAACTGAAAATGAAAAGTTTTCCATGGTCACCGTCCCAAATACAGGTTCAGTGTTTTTGAAGTAAATAATGGTGAATGTAGGTCCAAACATCAGCAAAACTGTTAATAGCAGTCTTAAAAGCAATTTCCTATTATTTTCAGACAGTTTATTATTATAAATCAATGAAAAGGTTCATATTTCTAAAAATGTATAGTTTAGAGCACCGCAAGACTCCAGTTTGTGACTGCTGCACAACTCACCAGTTTCGACATGGCTGCCTCTCTGATGTTTTTTTCATTAGCTCATAAAGATTACCTATTATGAAAGTAGCAGATTTTAAGAGGCATACATCACCATCCCACACAGAGTGCGTAGATATGTTTACACATGCACAGTCTAAAGGCCAATAACACTCTTATTAACCTGACCAAACAGCATCACAGGTTTGTCACGCTAGTTTACTGAAGCAAAACCGAGCATTTCACTAATAGGTTTAGCAGTTACATTCAGCACAATCAGCCACCCGTGTAGCAACGGGTGAGGAACAGTGCCTTAACCCATCACACGCTACCCCAGTGCACTGTGGAGAATCAATATGTGTAAAACTTACACAAAGATGCACAGAGGCACAGGTGGATTAAAACCTCAAATGTCAATCAGAACATTTATCAATGGTTAAAAACAACCACATGCTACACTGGGGGGTGTCCCCGAGAGAGGAGTAACGAAAGCCGCAACTTCATCAGTTTCTGAAACTATAGCTTTCACTCTGCTTCCTTCCTTCTCCTATCTTTCTGCCCTTTTCTCATTTTCTCTCAGTAAGGTGAGGAGAGCATGCTCTCTCTCTCTCTCTCTGCAAACAACTGCAGGAACAAAGAGCCATTCACGCACGGGCAGCTGCTGAGGTTGGGAAGTCATTTTGGAGAATCTCAACAAAGATTGCACTTCCAGCATAGGGGCCCCAAGCCAGTGCCCTCTGCTTTTGATTTGGTGTCCCCCTCTCTTGCCATTCTCACAACAAAAGCAGAGGCATTTTGGAGTCCTCAGATTTAAGAAGATGTTATCAAGGGCAAACCGAAGCAAAACAAAAATCACAACAAAACAAATAAAAGCCCCTTGTCGGGGAAAACAAAATTCAAAAGAATAAATAAATAAAACAGTAAAAAAGAGCTTTAAAAAAACAGTAAAAAAATAAAAAAAATTCTACTGGCCTGGATTGGGAAAAAAATAAATAAATAAACAAAACAAAATAAAGGCGCTTTAAAAAAATATTAAAATTATGTTGGCCTAGTTGGGTCAAAAAAACTAACTAAATAAAAGTGCTTAAGAAGCTTAATGAAAAAAATCTGCAGGCCTGGTTAGGGCAAAACAAAATACAAAATTAAAACACTGCCCCAGGCCCATTGGTGTTACGTTATGGTACATTACATGTTGTTTTTCAATTAATTATTTGACTATAACGAATATCATCCTCTCGAACAGCTGTGTGAGTGTAATATCTGAACTTTCTAAGCATTTCGACCAAAAGTGGACCAGTGGAACAATAGTGGACCCTAAACTAAAACCATGGCACGTGGGCAACTCTATTTAACTCAATCAGTTATAAAATATAGTGTTTGTTTCAGTTTAGAGTAGGGATGTATCGATTCACTCAACTCACGGTTCGATTCACGATTTTAATTTCACTATTCGATTCGATTCACGATTATTATTATTTTTTTAACAAAATGAGATTTAAGACAAATTATAAATTAAATGTGTCCTTTTATTACTGCTTGGACAAAATGCTGCACATTTCTTTGTGAAATTGAAATATAACAGGTTGTATAATTTCGAAATTTGAAGCAAAAACAGAATGGTCTTACTTCAGTTTTGTGAAACTATACAAAAATATCTGCATGAAACAGCAGACGAGCTGAATGAGACGCAGATTCACTCTCTGCCAGCAGGTGGCGCTTAAAGCGTTTCCTTGGTTTCCGCTGTAAACAAAGCAGCACTGAACTTATTAAACTTTAATATGCATTATACAGAGGCAAGATGAAAAGAAAAAATACCATCTAAACTTTTCTAAAGACAGTAAGTTCCCCTCAGACATGCATTCATATAAACTCCTACACCTAAATTAATCGCGATTTGTTTAGCATCTCAACCGATTTGAATCGTCACATATTTGAATCGATTTTTAACCGGCTCGCGGTTAATCGTTACATCCCTAGTTTAGAGACCTCACCTCATATGACTCCTGCTGATTTTGTCTCTCCCTCTATTTCTCGGCAGAAAGATATAGTACAATAACATTCAGAAAAAATCTGGAAATGTCATTAGCAAATTCAAGGCAGCAGACCCCAGACTGAACATAATAAGTAGCTACTCCACACTTTTACTGTGTAGGTGGAGTGACGAACACCATATGGTTTAATACGCAGCCTCGCTCTGAACTCAAAGAGGCACTTCACTCTGGAGGAAGAAGCGTGCCTTAAAACTATAAAACCATCAATATTCAGTTCAAAAAGAGAAACTGACTTAATGAAAGATACAGATCATTCACAAGCAGGTCAGAATTTGTGTTTATCGCATTAGGGTTCTTGTGTAAAATTACATTCTGTATAAAATCAAGGATTTGCAGAATACGCATTCCAGTGTGAAGATGAGTGCAACTTGGCAAACTGTTCCCAAGCCAATCCATCCAACGTCAAAAGCTGTCCTTTACAGAGCCCATGAAATGGTTTGATGAAAGCAATGTTCTTTCCTGCGTTGACATATTTCCTACTGAAACAATTAGATGGGATAAGAAGGGATGCTTATGCTTACGTATTTCCAAAATCATGTGACTTTTTTAAACCATAGTTTGGTATTAGGCAGTAAATGCTCATTCTACCCTCTCAAGAATAAAGTTTCCAAAAGAGTTTTCACAGCGATGCCATAAAATAAACATTTTGAGTTCCCCAAAGAACTTGGCAGTGAACAATTATATACAGTATATACATATATATATATATATATATATATATGGGTTATCGTTGTTCTAAACCACATTTTTATCCCCGGGTAAAGGTCACACTTGTAACTTATAAAAACGGGGTTAGAATTGCTTTTTACCTTGGGTTATGAATCCCTGCTCGGCAGCAGGGTTAGCACCATCTTGGGGTGTTATTCCTGCATTGCGTTCGAATGGTACGGCAAGATGATTAGCAACAGACACCCAACAGTGTGCCTCATATTTAGGTGCTTTTAACAGTAATGGAAAGGGTTAGGGTTGAGTCCATTCAGGAAAACCTTGATAGCACACTCAGCAACATAGCCTATGAGGATGTGCAATGCTAGAGACTTCATGTAAACAGGTTGCATGTGGCATTCATTCAATCAATGACACTGACACAGCAAAATATGCAAATAAGAATCTTAACCCAGAGTACAGTGTGAAATGTCGGCTTATGAACACCCAGGATTAATTGTTTAGTATCAGCAGCATGAAACGCGAAACAAGATAACCCAGGATTCTGTTTACCCGGGTTTTACAATGACCCAGGGTTAAATAGTAAGTGTGAAATGCAGGGGTGTGTGATATTGACAAAAAATTATATCTCGATAAAGATTACTAAACAATATTTTGCTGAGTGTGTTTTTGTGCTGGTACCTTGGCTTGTTTAGGCCTGTCATGGATAAATAAATATGACACTAAAACCGCCAGAAGGTGGCAGCAAGTCCCTGTCTTAATGAGTGATTCACTGAATCATTAATTCAGATGATTTGTTCAAAACAGCTGATTGATTTAGAAACGAAGCAAGCGACTGTCTTTACGAATGAGCTATTGAATCATGGACTCAAATGATTTGATCAAAAACAGATTCATTGAGGAATGAAACACTGCAGTGCTGCTCTGAGCCGCAAAAATTTTCTGTTTCGGCTTTGTTTAGAACAATTTTCGCTGGCGAAACCGAAAAAAAGACAATATTGTGTCTAAAATGTAACTCAGGGTGTGTTCACACTTGTAGTTCGGTTCGTTTGGTTCATTTGGTCCGGACCAAAAAGGAAAATGATACATTTGGTCCTGGTCAGCTTAGCGTTCACATTGGCATTTTTGACAGTGAACCTAAAGACACCGAACCTAAAGGCATAGTGATACGTTCACAACCTGATTGGTCGGCATGAATGACGTATATATCGTGACGGAACTCACCGAACACCCCAAACTAGGCATGGGCCGGTATGAGATTCTGACGGTATGATAACCTTATATAAAAAAAATATCACGGTTTCACGGTATTGCGATTACAGCTGTGAGGTACGAGGATGTGTGCACATACACACATAAGGAAAGAGAGAGCGCGAGTGTCACACGCGCGCGCGGTCTCTCCGTACAACAGTCAAACAGTGGCAAAGTGTTTTGGGTTTTTTGGGGTTTTTTTAAATGCGTGATTTTGAACAGATGTAAACAATGGCAGGAGGCTTAAAAGTATACACGTGATACCAGCTACATTTAATTACTGTACTAAATCGCAGAAAAGTAGGGTACGTACTTCTGCTATTCCCCACTCTGTGAAGTAACGTGAGGGAGGAAACTAGTTGACGTTAGCTAGTTAATTAGCCATGTTATCTGCCTCGGTAGCAAGCCAAATAGTATTTATTTCAACACTGAAACAAACGGCGGGTGGGTCTCTG